CTCTAAGCTTTTCCTCTCGTTTCCATCATAGAATGCTTCCAATCTTTTTTGTGAATTTTTTTATTATAAGAAAATCTATTTGTATCTATCCTAACCCGTTTGGGGATATATTAAGCTATTTTTGTACATAAGAGAGAGAGAGATTTATAGAGGTTTTGTACAAATGGTTTAAAATGTGTATATCTTGATACTTTTTTTAATATGTAATGCTTATTACCTCTTCATGTTTAGACTTGTAGTCGACGTTACCTTACAACTGCCATTTTTGTACGTGGTTTTGTAAAGGACTTGGATTTCCTCCAGATGTACTTTAGCACCAACGTGTCTTACTTTATAGAAACTTTGTTAATGTATTAATAATGTTATTAAACAATGTTCAAAGTGAACAAAGTTTATGCAGCTATTGTCCAAACGCAAAATGGTAGCCATTTGTTTTTATATGCTGCCTTTTGAAAAAAAAAAAAAACAAAACACACAAACAAACAAACAAACAACCCCTATGCCACTGCCTTTTCTTACTGTTTTATTACAAACTTACGAAGGTCCTGTATAACCCTGTTTTATACAAACTAGTTTCGTAATAAAACTTTTTTTAATTAAAATGATCGGCTGCCTACTGCATGCAATTTTTTTTTCTTTCTGCCATTGACAACGATGAATGTAAGGACGAAATGTTAAATGATGTTATGCCGGAGCTAAGTCGCATATGAAGTGTTTGTATCTGATGGATGTAACATATATATCTTTATCTATCTCTATATAAATATGCAAAGATCTAGCGGTATCACCATTGTTTTCTTGCCCTTCTGTGTTGCAAATGTGTCTCCAAATCAAAAGGCGAGGGGATGATTAATGATTGCATTGTCCTTCCTGAAATCACTGCACATTAAAGAATTCCCCCAAAAGCCCAAGTCCTAAAAAAAGAGGGCGCTCCATCCCGCCTTTCGGCGCTGTGGCCCTCTCCTCCCCGGCTCTGACCCAACGAGGCAGAAAAACCCGGGGGAAGGCGCGGCCGCCGCCGCAAACACGGGCCGCTGTGTTGCCTCTGCGAAGGCAGCGGCTGGATAAATAAAACAGTCGGGGGAAAGACGGGAGGCGAGAGGCGAAGGGAGAGGAAATTAAATAAATAAATAAAATAGTAGAAATGGGTGGCAGCTTAGAGACACCGGTCTTTCTAAGCTTGTTATTCTACCCAAATAGCGTGATCTGCCTGTAAAAGTACCCAATTACCAAGACTCAAAAAGAAATTGGACTCTCCCCCCCCCCCCCGTTTTTTTGGTTTTTTTTTTTTTTTGGCTAGCCTGCTTGTTGTCAGTTAGCAAGGACGTGACCAGAATTCGCCTTCTCCTTTTCGCCTGGCTCCTGCATCACTTGCAAATTCAGTTTGCGTGCACCAAGCCAAGCGGAAAGCAAAGCGCAAAATGCATCTTACAAAAAGAAAAAAAAAAAAAAAAACACAACACAAAACCCCAAAAAAACAACAAAGACGGGGGAAAGCCAGCGTGTCGTACGGAGTTAAAAAAATCTAGCCCCCTGAACTACAAATGTGCCGTCGAGTTGCGAGGGATGCGCTATTTTTAAAAAAGAGGAGGGAAAAACTTTGGTGGGGCACCCCGCAATTTTCTCTGTGTGTGCGTATGTATGGGTAACTATATATGTATATGCACGCACGCATATGCATAGATGCACATATATACGCGTGCATATCAATGTATAGTCCTTTCTGCGCTGCTTTAAAAGTGTACGCACATTTGCCCTTCACCTCCTCCCCCCTCCCCGCCCCGAAATGATCAATATGTGATTTAATCGGGGGCGGGGGACGGGGACGGGACACGCTGGGGTCACGAAATCCCTCATTACTTCAGCACAAACACTCATTGTTTTAACCGCTCGTGGAACTAATGTTTAGTTATGAAAATAATAACCGTTATATGCCTCCATCCGCTCTCCCTTTACAGCATCTCCTTTTTTATTTACCCACTTTTGCAAGTGTACCGATAAGGTATGCAAAGAAAGTGTAGCGAGTAATTTATAGCTATGAATATAACATTAGGATAATGTTTCATTCTGTTACAAAGGCGAAATTTCTCTTCCTTGTGTAGACAGGTGTTCTTTTTTGCTCACTTCTGAATAGTAAATATCCAGACTCATTAAACTAAAGGCAAAGTTACGCTGTTGTTCGCTACAATGTATAAGGCAGGCTCAGAAATTCACCACCTCCTCCCTCCCTTTTCCCCTCAGCCCCCTCCCGAAAGAAAGAAAGAAAGAAAACACACACACACAATTTTACTGAAGATAGGGAAAGGGCAAAGCAGGATTGGGGTAAATCTCATTACATCTGCTCTAATCGCTTAGCAACACAAAGCCTTTTCTTGTATTAGCGCGGAGAGCCTTTCAGCGCTGCCTGACAGACAGTATTCAGTTAGCATTAGTAAACTCCATAAATCAGGGACTTCTTTGGGCGCAGTATAAGTTTTAGAGCTACTCAGGGCTGGGGGGAGGGATGCAGATGGAGGTTGCTGGACCACGGATTTATTAATTTATTTACCTGTGTATTTATTTATCGTAATGCTGGAAAAGCGGCCCGGTAACAAATGCCTCTCCCCGAGTTCTCTCCTCCCCCCAAATCAAGTTTTTGTGGGGCAGAGTCTTGGTACATGTCAGGCCGTCGTCACCAGTTTGGTAGCCGCCCCAGGAAACCCCTCTGGTGGCTCCCCAGGGGTTGCTGGCACCTGCGGGCTCAGATCCTCCCAGAAACAACGAGCCGCTGCTGCTGCCAGCACTGCCCGCGGCAGAGGTGCTGGGGCCTCCTTGCTCCCAGGTGCTGCTGTGGAAATGGCACTGGGTACCCATTCATTCCCTTCTCCAAACAACCGACTTACTGGTACGTAGTCAGGACATCTCCTTCTTACCCTATGATCTGTCTTGCATGAGAAAATAAATGGGGGTTCAGGTTCTAAGTGTACTATGGCTATGTTTATAAACGCTGGTTTTAATACAGTAACAGTACTTTGTTTAAACAGGCAAGCTTATTTATTAAGACAGGCTACATAGAAGGTACATTTAAGGCATTGTTTCCATTTGGACTGCTTGTGTCCCTCTCATTTTCTTGAAAAGCAGCCATCTGCTGCATCAGCATCTTCCCATCTTGAAAATTCGGACATCCTTTTTATTTTCACTGCAAGCACAAGAAAAATATTTTAGAAGAGAAGCACTACGCTTGAATTTAACAGAGACATTTTATAAAGCGGACTTTCCCATGTCTTTCTATGTGTTCAATTAAATGCAGTGATGCATTTAACTGCATCACTTACGGCAAACATTGCCACAAGGTAACTGTGATGCAAAGAGGTACGAATCACACACGCAGAGCGAGTAACTTACCAGAGACAGCCTCACTTCAGGCTTTGTTACCTATAAAAACCTGACAAAGCCATCTGCAAATCTGAGAAGTATCAAACCACATGACAAATCTTGCAGTGAGGACTAAAGCGTCCGTTACAAAGCGCTAATGCAAGTCAAACTTCACAGTCCCTGAAGTGGGAAACAGTTCTAAGGCTTACAGAATTTCCCCCTTTCACGTGGCAATTCAGCGGGAAGGGTGTGCATCCTGATGCACTGCTGCATCCCAGGCTTCACCAAAATTTGAATGTGTGGTTCTCTGAACATTGGAATCTTCTATAAGGAAATTTTAGCCAAGTGTCCCTTTGTTTGGGAACATTAGTTTTTTTTTTTTTTTTTTGAAGTTCCCTGCCCCAGACTGAATTTCTCCTGCTCCTTACCCCGTCCTATTAATAATCCCGTGCAGGCGATTGCAGACCGAGGTAAAGCTATCATTTGTATGCGCCTGAAGATTAATTTCCCCCATGTACCAACTCAACGGCATAGTTATCTCTTTAACAGGGAAAACAGTTTGGCTCCATTGTCGGGTTGCCAAGACCGCCTTTTGAGAAAGGGAGCCTGGCTAGCCTCTGATCAAACTCAAAGGTTAGTTAAAAGACAAAAACAGCTGAAAATCTTCATGAATAATGCTGTTTCCCCGAGCCCAGTGTAGTGCAAGCGCACATTTCAATGCCAGAGCATTTTGTTATGCTGCTCGCCTAAGTCAGAATTTCACAGAAAAGGCAGAGAAGAAAAGCTCCAACAATTAGAGGGGGCCTGTCAGAAAACATTAACGCCTTCCTCGCCCA